CTCCCCCCAGACCTGCCCTTCATTCCAACAGCCCGACCCTCGGCACCGGAGACTAGCTCGCCCTCCCAGTTAATCAAGCCCGGTCCCTCCAGCCAATCCCACTCGAAGGCTCCACCCTCCCGCTCACCCAGACATAACCACACTGGCCCCTGCAGTCTAGCTCCTCCCTCACCCGCCGCAGCCCTTCACAGGCACTCACCAATGTGTGCGTAGGTAGCAGGGACGGGGTCAGCGCTGGCCCCGGCGCCTGCAGCCCGGAGCCACTTCCCGATCCTGGGGTCCGTTCGGGTCCTGGCCCACCCAGCAGGCTCGGGCTGAGTGGAAGCTCCAGGTCCCGGGGCTTCCGGCCCTTCTGAGGCTGGGCGATCTCTGTGCTGGAAGCAGTGGAAGCCGCGAGGCCGCCCACCTGCGCCGCAGTCTCCATGACGACCGCGGGCAGCCGGGCCGGCACGCCCTCCGCAGGAGGGACTTCCGGCCCGGCCTTAGCGACTTCCTGCACAAACCCCGCCTCCCCACCGACTGCGGCTTCCAACTCTTCCTTGGGCCCGTCCACTTTCACTTCTGGGGGCAGTGGCCTGCCCAACCCGGGCTCCACATTCAGCTCTTCTGATTTAGGGTTCTGGGCCTCGGGTGGGGTCAGGATGACCTGGGAGAGGAGGGGGGCGGGCAGAGGGGGTGCGTAAGGATTGCTGGGCTAGTGAAGCCAAGGACTTGTCTTGGAAAGCAGGACTTGGTATTGGGGTGGGGGGGGCATGACTACACATCAAGGCAGGTCCACCAGCAGGACGTGAGAGACTTTGCCAAGGACGTGGGGCTTCTTCTGAGGCAGCTTCTCTCTGGGGGACAGGGCTTCCCCTAAGGGTGGGCCTCCTGGGGATACTGCCCTCATTCATGAAAGCAGGGGTTCTCAAAAATTTGCTTTAGGGACTAGCAGCGTGTGCCTCATCTAGAAACTAGTTAAAAAGGCAAATTCTCGTGCTCATCCCCGATACACAGAATCAGAAACTCTCGGGGGTGGGCCCTAGAAATCTGTCCTTTAAAAAGCCCTCCAGGTGATTCTGATGAATGCTTAGCTGAGCGAACCTATGCATTAAGCAAGTAACATTCAGGGCACCTCGCATAACTTAGTACTTGCATGGCTCTCCTCCCCACCCCCTTCTCCCAGGGAACTTCTGCGTTCCTCCTTCCACCAAACCTAAATAGGATGTTTATGTTCCTTCTACCAGCACCCCTCCTCATCTGGGAATTGTACCCCCACCCTCTTACTGAATTTCCATATTCCAGTCCTTACCTGCAGAGGCAGGCCGGCCTCCTCGGCCTCCAGGCAGGCCTCCAAGGGGCTTGGACTGGTGCTCCTGCTCCCAGATGGGGGCACTGCTGCTCCCGAAGGGGCGGTGTTGGGGAGCACTGAGGCAGGCCGAGGATGAGGGGGCGGCTGTGGCTGTGGCTGCAGGGACTGGATGGTGAAGGTGGAATAGAGGCCTGAGCGCATGTACTCGTTCCGGCTGCTGCGTGCCAAGCCACCCGGGCCTGCCATTCCTGCACCCTTGGGTGTGCCTGGTTTCCCAGAGGCAGCGTCCCCGGGGACAGCATGTATAGCAGTGGGGGCCACATTTGCCACAGTAGAGGTGATGGACACCTCAGGCTGGGGCGGGCAGTCCTCAGTGGAGCACCTCGCGACTTCGGGGTAGGACACAAACTTGTAGACGAACTTCTGGCCGCTCACTTTGCGGATGATGTTCTGGGAAGGGAGGAGATAGGATAAAGGGCCTTAGAAGAGAGGGCCCGGAGTGGAGGGAGGGTATGGATGAGGGGGCAGAGGGGTGTGTCTCCCAGGGTCCTTCTTGCCCCTCTCCTGTCTTTTTACATATACACCATTCCACCTCCACATCTGCCCCCAACTAGGTACCCTCCCTCCCAGCCCACTTCTCACCTGCGTCTTTCCCAATTTGGGGGCTCCTCCCTTCTCCTCCTTCCGTTTCTACCTCTCTTCCCCATTGTGATTCCCCGCTCTGTATTCTTCCCAGTGTCTCCCCTTTCCCTCTTCTCCCTTCCACAACTCTTCCTTTAGTCTACTGCCCTTCTCCCCTCTGTGTCTCCTTCCCATCCATCCCTCTCCACATCTCCCCGTCACTCTTCATCTCCATCTGTCCAGTCCCCCCACCCCCACCTCAGAGACACACACCCACACCCCGTGGCACCTCTCCACAATGGGGCCCACCTAGGGGAGTCGGTGCAGGAGCAGGCTTTCCTCCTGGCTCCCAGAACCAGGGGTGTCTGTGGACTAACAGGGCCAGGCCTTGGGGGTGGCTGCCAGGACAGGTGGGGAGTGTGGCTGATGCAGTAAGACAGGAAAATGAAGTAACTGATGTAAATATTGGAAGAGACCAAATTAATATAGAAGATTGTGGTGCTGAATTATTAATATAGAGGATTATTTAAAGCTATCGATAGAGATGTAGAATAGGGCAAGGTCACTAGGGAGAACAGGCTGAGAAGCCTCACTCTTGTTTTTGTTTTGGGGCTTTTTTTGGTTCTCATAATTTATTTCTTGACTTAGCTGTAACTGAGGAGCCTCATTCTTAATACTGTGGTACAGGCGGCACCTGGGTGGCTCAGTCAGTTAGGCGTCTGCCTTCGGCTCAGGTCATGATCCCAGGGTCCTGGGATCGAGCCCCGCATCGGGCTCCCTGCTCCACGGGGAGCCTGCTTCTCCCTCTCCCCCTCCCCCTGCTTGTGTTCCCTCTCCCGCTGTGTCTCTCTCGGTCAAATAAAGAAAGAAAATCTTAAAAAAAAATAAAAAATACTGTGGTACAGGTTTAAGCTAAGGCAATTAGAAAATGAGGTGACTGATAGCAACCAGATAAGAGCATTAAAATGCTGGTATTAATATTGGGGGGAATCTCAAGGCTGGCTGGGTGGATTGCAGAACATGTCTAAGATATTTCAGGATAGGTCTGGAGGGTCTCAGGGATGTTGTGGTGGTCTCAGAGCACAGAATGAGGCAGCCTCAATATTGTTTTGGAGGCTTCAGCTAAAGGAATAAAATACAAGAATGGAATAATTGCTATAATTTATGGTATGCAGCAGAGGTCCAGGGCTGTTCTGGGGGACAAAAGGCAGCTGGGGGGCACTAGGGCACCCTAGAGACATCTTAATGCTGGTCAGGTACGTCACAGGGTGGGTTTGTGTTTCTCAGAAAAGGAATGAAAAGGGATATTCATTAATATTGTTTTGGAAGTTTCAGATAAAGAAGAAAATGAAGGGTGAGGGACAGGAAATCCATCCAGCACTTGTCTGAGAGTCTGAGAGGATGAGGAAAATATAAAATTTTAGCTATATGAATAAGATGATAAAATAATAAATGCTGGGGCGGACCAGTGTTGCTTTGGGGATGCATGAGAAGGGAGTGTGGGGCTGGCATTATACGCGTTCTTTATTTTAGCTAAAGGAATGAGAGAAGAAAAGAACTGACAAAAGTGTTCAGTATCCTAGAGGATGAGGTAAGGAAAGGTTAGTATAATATTGCCGTGGACATTTTGATGCTAGGTAGAAGAATATTCTGGAATTCTTATTCTGGAATAAGAGCAGGTTATGAAATAACTGAGGAAGTCAGGACTGCTCCAGTTCCAGAAGACAGGATAAGGAAGTCATTATTAATACTGTTTTTCAAATTTTTAGCTATAGGCATAAGACAAGAAAATGAAATGTTGGGTGGGGTGTAGTAGAACAGCATGACCTTGGGGGCCTCAGAAAGTGGGTGAGTAGGGGTATTAGTATTACTATGAAGGTTTCAGCATTAAAGCAATTAAGACAAAGAAAATACCTGAGATTGGGGCGCCTGGGTGGCTCAGTTGGTTAGGTGACTGCCTTCGGCTTGGGTCATGATCCCAGGGTTCTGGGATCGAGCCCCATGTCGGGCTCCCTGCTCAGCAGGGGAATCTGCTTCTCCCCCTCCCCCTGCTCATGCTCTCTCTCTCATTCACTCTCTCTCTTTCAAATAAATAAATAAAATCTTAGAAAAAAAAGAAAAAGAAAATACCTGAGATAAACGTTTGGGGTGCCCAACATTGGTCTGAGAGTATGAGAGGAGAGGGTAAAAAACAGTAGATTCTGTTTTCAAATTTATAGCTATGACAATTAAGACAAGAAAATGAAATAACTGACATAAATGTCAGTGGTCCCCAGGCCTGGTCCCAGAGGCCTTACCTTGTCATAGTAGTACCGCAGGGCCCGGCTGAGCTTGTCATAATTCATGTTGGTCTTGTTCTTACGCAGGCCCCACAGCCGGGCCACCTCCTCAGCATCCACCAGCTTGAACTCACCGCCATCCCGTGAGGTCCAGGAGATGATGTGGCCGTTGCCTTGCTCTCTCAGCAGCTGCAGCAGAAACTGCCACAGCGTCACAGAGGGGTCCATCGCTGGGGGAGCGCTCACGCCATCCCAGGGGTACCTGGAGGGCAGATGGCTCAGAGCTGAGAGGCTGTGAACACAGAAGGAGGCAGAGGTCAATGGGAGAAGGATTGCTTTCTTGCCATCTTGTCTCCACCTCTATTCCCAAAGCCCACCATCATTCCTAAACACCCTCAGACTGAATTCTAAGCTCCTCAGCCTGGCTTTGGACGACTCCCCATAATGATAGGAGACTTTGGGGGATAAGAGGATGGTGTGAATGTATTTTGCATGTGGGACAAACGTGAATCTTTGGGGGCCAGAGGACAGACTGTGGTAGGCAAAATAATGCCCCTCTCAGAAATGTCCACATCCTAATCTCTGGAACCTATGAGTATATTATGTACATGGCAAAAGGAACTTTGCAGATGAACTTAAGGTTACAGTAAAACCTTTTCTCTTATCTGCAGGGGATATGTTTCAAGACCCCCAGTGGATGCCTGAAACTGTGGACAGGACCAAACGCTACATATACTATGTTGTTTCCTATACATATACACACAATAAAGTTTAATTTGTAAATCAGGCACAGTAAGAGATTAACAACAATAACTAATAATAAAATAGAACGATGACGGCAATATATTAGAATAAAAGTTATGTGAATGTGCTCTCTCAATATCTTATCGTTCTGTACTCACCCTTCTTCTTGTGATGATGTGGGATGATTAAATACCCATATAATGAGATGAGGTGAGGTAATGACGTAGGCACTGTGACATAGTATTAGGCTACCACTGACCTTCTGATGACAGGTCAGGAGGATCATCTTCTGCTTGACCACGGGTAACTGAAACCGCGGAAAGCAAAGATGCAGATAAGGGGGGGTACCACTGTATGGATTTTAGGGAGATTGTTCTGGATTATGTGAGTGAGCTGAATCTAATCACAAGAACTCTTACTAAAAAAAGCAAGAGGCAGAAAGAGAGCTCTGAGAGATGCAACGACAGAAGAGGCAGGAGAGATTCAAAGCATGAGAGGGACCTGACCTGCCATTACTGGCTTTGAAGATGGAAGAACAGAGCTCGAGCCTGGGAAAATGGTGGCCTCACAAAGGTGGGAATGACCCTCAGCTGACCGTCAGTAAGGAAACAAAGACCTTAATCCTACAACCTCAACGAACTGAATTCTGCCAGCAACTTGAATGAGCAGGAACCAGATCCTGCCCTGGAGCCTCCAGAAAGGAAGGCAGCCCTGCCCACACCTGGGTTTCAGCCTGGTGAGGCTGTGTTGGACTTCTGACCTCCAGAGCGCCGAGATAATAATAATTTGCATTTTTTTTAAAGATTTTTTTTTTTGAATCTATTGTGTATTTTATTATTTTTTTTTATTCTTATGTTAATCCCCATACATTACATCATTAGTTCTACATGTAAAGATTTTATTTATTTATTTGACAGAGAGAGACACAGCGAGAGAGGGAACACAAGCAGGGGGAGTGGGAGAGGGAGAAGCAGGCTCCCCGCAGAGCAGGGAGCCTGATGTGGGACTCGATCCCAGGACCCTGGGATCGTGACCTGAGCTGAAGGCAGTCGCTTAACTGACTGAGCCACCCAGGTGCCCAATTTGCATTGTTTTAAGCAGCTATATTTGCAATAATTTGTTACAGCAGGAGTAGAAAACTAGTAATAGTGCCCCTCACCTGAATGTTTTCATTTGCATCCTCTGCCACATCAAATATCAAGTTTCCCAGGAGGTTCCTTCTGCTAGCCCCCCGCAAAAGCTGTTCACGCCGTGTGGGGCTCCCTTCTGCCTAGAAGTCTTCCCCATCGTTCCAGTCCCAGCCACAGGAGCCGTGCCTTTCTGAAGCCTTCTTGAAACTCAATGCCTGCTCTCTTCTGTCTACTTTGCACTCCTCGGGCCTGCTATGGTCCCTTTATGTTCTCCTTCTTGGTACCAGCAATAACTAACATTTGCTGAGTTCATAATGCTTGGCTGGTATTGTTCCAATCAGGCAATATGGCCTACCAGACAAGCACTCAGGCTCTAGAGCCAGATTGCCAGGACTGGAATCCTGGTTCTGCTACTTATTAGCAGTGTGACCCTGGGCATATGCTTTAACTTCTTTGTGCCTCAATTTTCCCATCTGTAAAATAGGGATAATAACATGCTCACCTGTGAAATAGGGATACTAATAATACCAAGTTCATAGAGTTATTGTACAGATTAAATATCATGTGCCTGGAGTATGATAAGCTTTTAATAGATATTAGTTTCCAATTTTTTCATAATTCCTTATCTGCTATTCCAAAATCCAAAAAGCTCTAAAAACAGAAAATTTCTTGGGGCACCTGGATGGTGCAGTCGGACAAGCATCTGACTCTTGGTTTCAGCTCAGGTCACGATCTCAGGGTCGTGGGACCCAAGCCCTGCATCGGGCCACATGCTCAGCGCCATGTCAGCTTGGGGATTCTCGCTCTCCTTCTCCCTCTGCCCCTGCGCCCGCACATGCAAATAAATAAATAAATAAATAAATTTAAATTTAAAATAACTTTAAATAAATAAAATAAAATAAATAATAAATAAATCTTTATTTCTTTATTCTCAAATAAATAAATAAATTTTTAAAAACAAAACAAAAAACCGGAAAACTTCTTTATCACCCTTTGGGCAGCAAAAACAGATTTGAAATGAACGAGGCCCTTTCTGGTCTTTAGTGATTCTCACTTAGTGTGACTGTTTATACATTCTGCTACAGAAACCTGAATGTGGCTGATTACTGAGCCCACTGAGGGCATTATGTAACATATTGTATGTGCACCTTGTCACCTTTCTAAAATCTGAAAAATCTGAAATTCTGAAACACATCTGGCCCCAAGGGTTTTGGATAAGGGCATGCAGACCTGTACTGCTATTTTTATAGGTACTGACTCATTTATCGTTCATCACAACTCTGGAAAGTAGGTGCTCTTTATCATCGCTAATTTACAGAGGAGGAAGCTGAGGTACAAAATGTCCAGATGACGTCTATGGGCCACGGAGCCCAAATGGCACAGCCAGGATTTGGATCCCATGTAGTCAGATTCCCGTTGTCTAAGCACATAAACCATTAGGCTAAACTGCCCCCACGCTGCTCCCTCAGCACGTCCCGCACAGAACGGGCCCTTCCCCGCCCCCCTCTTTGCTGCACTGGAGGGTGATTTGGAAATAAACATGGAGCTTCCTATTCCTTAAGGAATGAGCTTTCATCGATCGACTGTTCACTGGCTGGGACTGTTGGGTTATGAATAAGACCTCCCAAACCAGGTTTTAAAGAACCTTCCTTCATTCTTTAATCTGTAATGAAATACACAGGATGATCAGCATGATCCTCTCATGTCTGAGCTGGTTTGAAGTTCATTGGGTGGACACAGTTTTAGGCTATTATACAAGTCACAAAACCATGAAGTGTCCACGTTTGAGAGCCCTGTCATCAGAGGCTTTACTGAGTTGACTTCAAAGACCGGCTTGTTTCAGAGGCACAAAGAGTTCAGTGTGACTCCTGGTGGCGAAGACAGGCAATTTTACCAGATCCTCTTTCAGCCGTGAGAGGACCTATTAATTAAGGTAAAATCTGACCCTTTGCTCCAAGCCTCAACAGCACACGGGGTTTTGTGTTTTGTTTATTATCGTATTTCCCACTTGACCCCTCATAAGAGGTCTAGTAATCTGCCTTCCTCGGGTGTGTTGACTTCTCTTCATCTCATTCATTTAGTAAGCATCTACTGAGCGCCCACTGTGGGCTGGGGGCTGGGGGTATAGCCGTGAACAAAACAAAAATCCCTGCTCTAGTGGAATTCACATTTCAGTGGGGAAGACAGTTAAGAAAGAAGGTAAATGAGTCAAAGAGTACGTCAGATGGCGAGAAGAGCTATGGAAAAAATGAGGCAGGGAAGGGGCTGTTATTTTTGAAAGGGTAGTCAGGGGAGGGTAGGCCCCGAGCAGGGGCCATGTGAGCAAACACCTAAATGAGGCGAGCGAGTCAGGTCTGCGATGACCTGGGGAGCGGGTCGATCCAGGCAGAGGACACAGCCAGGGTGAACAACCCTGAGGCTGGAGCGCGCTGGGCAGGTCAGAGGAAGAGCAAGGAGCCAGGCAAGGTCAGAGAGGAGGGAGGAAGGGTACAAAAAGGAGTAGGGAGGGCGCCTGGGTGGCTCAGTTGGTTAAGCGACTGCCTTCGGCTCAGGTCATGATCCTGGAGTCCTGGGATCGAGTCCCGCATCAGGCTCCCTGCTCAGCAGGGAGTCTGCTTCTCCTTCTGACCCTCCCCCCTCTCATGCTCTCTCTCTATCTCATTCTCTCTCTCAAATAAATAAATAAAATCTTTAAAAAAAAAAAAGGAGTAGGGAGGTGAGAACAGAGGGGCCATGGGGGCCAGACTGAGTGAGGCCTTTCCAGGCCCTGCCAGGCCTTTGACTATGAGTGAGAGAAGAGCCACACGAGGGCTGTGAGCAGAGGGGCAACAGGCCGTGACCTGGATTCTAACAGGATCCTTCTGGCCATTGTGAGGAGAGAACGGGCTGGAGGGGCCTGCGGACGGTCCAAGTGAGTGATGGCGGCGGCAGTGGAACTGGGGAGGAATGGCTGAGTTCTGGATGAAATGTGGAAACAGAGTGAGCAGGATTTGCTGAAAAGAAAGTATGGGGCGGGGGGAGAGTGAGAGTGACATCACCAAGGGTGATTCTAGGTTTGCGGCCTGAGCGCCGGAAGGATGGAGCTGGGGACAGACTGAGATGGGAGCGCCGCCGGAGAGCAGGGTTCGAGGTAAGATCGGGAGGTCAATTCTGGAGATGGTCTCAGAGGCCTGCTCGACACCGATATGTATGCGATGAATAATGATACTCATTTTCAAAACGGTCCTACAACCCCTACTGTGTGTCACACACCGTTTTAGTCGTTTTAGCTCACGCGGTCATGAAGCAACACTGTGGGGCGGGCATTATTATGATCCTCCCATTTTCCAGATGAGGAAATAGGGGCGGAGTTCAGTCACTTGCCCAGAGTTCTGCAGCTGGAAGCCGGCAGAGCTGGGGTTCGAGCCCAGGCAGTCTGGCTGCAGGCAGGGATCCCGGGGCTTTACAACAGCCACCCTCTATGAAGAGAAACAGAGAAGGAAGACCCTAGAGGGGGTCGGGGATGGTATTTCACACAGGGTGAGCAGGGAGGGCTCCCCGAGGAAGTGACTCGTGGAGGTAGCAAGCCATGCGGCCATCTGTGGGAAGGGTCTTCGTACAAAGACTCTAAGGTGCCCACGAGCTTGGCACCCTACAGCATGGGCACCATGCGTTCATCCAGTTTCCACCTCGGAGGATATGTTTGTACCCTACCCCCTTCTCACACCTGATAAACTCTTTATTAGATGATCCTCAAGTTCTGCCATCTCCCGGGCAGAATAAATTCTTCCTCTGTGTGATCCAGTGTGCCGAATAAACCTCTGTGCTCTTGCAAAGCTCTCCTCTCTGGGTCTCCATTCTCCTACTCCTCTGCCCTGCTCTAGCTGTGCGACCTCGAGCAAGTTACTTAACCTCTCTGGCTCTGTTTCTGCATCTGCAAAAGATCCTCAAAATACACTATTCTCAAAGGCTTCTGTGGGGATTAAGTGCCAATACATGTAAAGGACTTAGAAAAGTATCTCTGGCATGTGGTAGACACTCGACAAATGTTAGCTCTTAGCTCGTGTACCAGCGTTCTCCCTCCCCCCACTCCCCAACCTTATGTATCACCATGGCCTACACCATCTGGCTCCCATCACTGCTCTAACCTTGCCTCCTGCCTGCCTCCCTCCCTCCACTCTGCTCCAGCCACAATGGCCTCCTTCACGTTTCTTGAATGTACTAGGCACAATCCCACCACAGGGCCTTTGCACCGGCTGTTCCTTCTGCCCCTAGAACACTCTTCCCCTAGACATTATGGCTTCCTCCCTGATCTCCTTCAGGCCTTAATTCAGGAGTCACCTTCTAAGTGAGGCCTGCCCGGTGCCTAAGATTTCAACCACCCCCATACTCTCTCCCTGTCTTCCCTACTTCATTTTCCCCCTTAGCGCCTGTCTAACATACTATCTAATTTTACTTACTGTTTTATTTATAAAGTCTGTCTCCCCCACTTTTAGCAAACGTCTGCTCCACAAGGACAGGAATTTCTGCCTGTTCTGTTCCCTCCCATATCCCCAGCACCTAGAAGAGTGCCTGGTACTCAGTAGGTGCTAAGTGTTTGCTGAATGAACAGTCTCAACTAGCTTCTTTAACTAGCTCTCATATGCCCTCTTCATCTCCATCTCCCCCACCATCCTGATTTGTCTGAAATAATATTTTTCACATTCATTCATGCAATAAATTTACTGGGCACCTACTATATACTAAGTATATTTACCCAGCAGTAAATAAGCAAACAAGAAACTGTAAGCCCTCATGGGACTCCCTTTCCAATGGGGAGGGACAATAAACTGGTAAACTACACAGTGTATCTGATGGTGACCAAGGGCAAAGGGACCAATAAAGCCGAGAAGGGCCCTGAGGCCTGCTAAGTATGCAGGTTCAGATGGTCAGGGACAGGCTGACATTTGAACAGAGCTCTGAAAGGAATCATGCGGAGATCAGGGGGAGAGTGTTCCAGGCAGAAAACAGAACCGATGCAAAGGCCCTGAGGCTGGACTGCATCTGCTGTGTTTGAGGATGAGTGAGGAGCTCAGTGTGGCTGGCACAGAGTTGGGGGGATAAGGTGCAGGAGGTGAGGCCAGGGAGGTGACTTGTTTTATTAACTGCCAGGGATGCTTCACACTGTGAGGGGATTCTAGTTCTGATTCCTCCATTTTAGAAATGAGGAAGCAGGGGCAGAGAGAAAGTGATTAAATCATTCGGGTCATACAGCTGCTGTGATTGGGGATGGAGGGGTGCTGAGACAAGGTGTGGAGTGGAGATAGCTCTGCAGGCAGGGGTGATGGCAAGAACAAAAAGCTTGGAGATGGCAAGTAATTTGGTGTTTAAGGAGTGGGGTCTCATGTGGGATGGGATGAAGTGAGAGAGGGGAGCCTCAAAAATTATTCTGTGTTCTGAGGGGCAACCTAACTGGGTACTTACCTCCGAATAAGGTACTGAACCCCCTGAGTACCTGTCTCACAGGGTTGTGGTGAGGATTAAACGAGCTCACTGATACAAAGCACTTTGCCAGGTTCCACCAGGTGCTCAATAAACCTTAGCTTCTAATGGCATTATCACTATCTCTGATGCATCCACTTATTGGAGGGAGGCAGAATGTCTTAGGGGTTAATGATGTGTATGAGGGGGTGTGTTCTAGAGTAAAAAAGACCTGGGTTCAACAAGCACACGGGATGGGCCACTGCTAAGGAGGGAGGGGGGCAGGGAAGGCCATGGACTGATCCACCACGAGGAAAGGAGGGACAAAATAAAAGCACCCTCCTGGAGGAGGAATTACAAAGCACTGGACTCAGGGGAGGGCATGGGGGTGTGTGCCTGAATGCAAGCACATGGGTAGCCGGGAAGCCAATGAACAGATCCACTGCAAAGGCCGGGGAGGGGGGGCGGAGTGCAAAGGTTCATCTTATTTATGGGGGGGGCGGGGAGAGCAAGGGGAGCAGAAAGACATACTGACTGTACCACAAGAGATGGGGTGAAAAGCCATCACACAGACTGCTTAAAAGGAAAAGGGAACGAGGCCATGGACTGGGCTACTGAAAACGGGGAGATAAAAAGCACTAAACTGACTCACTATTAAAAGGAAGGGGGAAGCCCAAGGACTGGAGCAACAGTCTACAAAAAAAGGAGAGGGCAATGGGCTGATGACTAGGGGGATGTGAATACAAGCCTTTAGACTGGTACACTGTAAAACGGGGTGTGTGACAGAACCATGGACTGATGCACTGGGGGACTGGAGGAGGCAGGAATACAACTTCACAGATTAACTCACTGTTAAAGGGGGTGGGGGGTGTACAACGCCACGGATTGATTCACTACAAGGAACAGGAGTCGTGGAACAAACAAGGCCACAGACGGGGCCCTTGAAAGTTGAGGACAGGAGAAAAACAAACATTCAGATGCACCTACTGTCAAAGGCGTCGGACAATGCCAGAGCCGGCTCCCCTCTAAGTGGGGGTGGGGGCAGGACCATGGACGAGTCCACTGTAAGGTGGGGTGGGGAGAAAATACAAGCACGCAGAGCGATCCATTATAAAACAGGAAGGGGGGGCTCAGGCCACGCTCAGATCCACTACAAGGGGCGAAGGGAGGGGACAATACCACAGGCAGGTCCACCAGCCGTGGTGGTGGCGGTGGGCAGTCGAACACCAGCAGGCCACGGGCCAAGCCACATCCCTCGCGCGGGGGCGGGAAGGATACGTGGGGTCACGGACGGGCCCTCCACCCTCCAAGCCCCGGGCTCACCTGTGTGTAGCGCAGTGGCAGTATTGGCAGCTCCGGGGGGCGGGGGCTCCATGCGCAGCCCCACCGCCCCCCAGGCCCGGGCTCCGAGGCGGCGGCGGTGGCGGTGGCGGCGGCAGCGGCGGCAGCACCTAGAAGCCGCCCCTGCGTTTCCTCACCGCTCACGTGGGCCTACGGAGGAGGAGCCGAGCATTCTGCCGCTCGTGGGTTGGACAGAGCGCCTTGGATCGACCGCGCGGCTTCCAGGGTTGGGGAGGCGGGCCCTGCCCCACAGAGCTGTGCTGTGACTGGCCCAAGGGAGACTGATGGAACGCAGATGGCCGCCTGGGTTCCGAGGGGGCGTGCTGGGCCCCGCCGGTGCTTCACGCTGATTGGCTCAAGACTGACAGCCCGTGGGCGATTGACAAGACTCTGGGGGCGCCTGCCTCACAATGATTGGCCTACACAGAAGACAGCCTTCGAGGACAAGGGTGGATGGACTCTGCTTTCTGCTGATTGGCGGATGAGGGACTCCAGACAGCTGCCAAAACACCAACGGGGCGGTGCTGCACTCCACGCTGCTCAGCGGAAGCAGGCCTTGTATGGAAGTGGGCGTAGCAGCAGGCTGGCAGGGGGCTGGGCCAGGGCTGTGCGTAGGTGGGCAGGGTAACTCTGTAGTGATTGGCTAGAAAAGACGATTTTAGAACGGAGCCCAGATAGGAGGGGTTGGACAGCAGCCAGGCACGCAAAGGAGCGCTGAGTGGCGGAAACTAAATGCCTACGAGGAGGTCAGCGTCGAGCAGCAGCCAGTTATAAAGGGGCGGAACCTGGCCCTGCGTTGATTGGCGGAAGCTGGACTCAACCTAAAATAGGGGCCGGACTAAGGAGGGCGGGATGCGGCTCTGTGCCCATTGGTGGAAGCTGGAACTATTTAGAAGCGGGGTGAGGCCAAGGTTGGGCCGAGACGGGCGTGGGTGTATTCTAAGGTACCCCGGTCATGATTGGGGTGGGGGAGAGGCGCAAACCTTAGGGCCAGGAATGAAAGGCTGATTGTCTTGGGAACAAACCTCCACCCTGAATCGGCCCATTCTCTATGATAAGTCAGAGTTATGTCCAGGAAAATAAACAGAAAAAAAGAGAAGGGTCAGGTGGGAGGTCCAGGTTGCCAAGGCGACAGAAAAGAGGGCAAAGCGTAAAGTCAAGTGGCAAATGCTGCCAGGCAACAGGCTGGAGGCGGGACTTCAGGGGTGCTTTATAGGTTCCACACAGAGACTGGATCTCTGGGGCTCCTGGTAACTTTGTGCTTTAGAAACAAGGCACCTTAGCAAACAGCAGGGGTTTAGGTGGGGAAAGAAGGGCCATGTGACTCAAAGGCATTCAGGCTCTTTAATGTCTGAGGAGGCGGGGAAGAAGTCAATGGTGAGGTGTCTCCGGGAAATTCTGCAGGCCTTGTAGTTCTCTAAGCCCCTGAAAAAGAGGACAGAAGAGACTGAGCAGAGACTGGGTCCAGGCCTCCACCCAGGCTTGCTGTGACCTCCCCTCCCTCAGAGCCAGCCTGGCTCCAGCTTGGCTCCAGCTTAGAGAGAAAGATGGTCCTTCCCGTCCCTGGCTCTCTCCCTTCCTCAGGTCACACCACCCTGAACACGTCTGGAGATGGAGTGGGAGTGGGGTGAGCTGCTCTCACCTCTAGCAACATGTGGATATGGGCCTTGATATTCATGGAGTCCTTGGTGAGGCTGTCGCTGAGCCTGGAGAAAAGAAACAAGAAAGGGCGAAGTGGGCCCCACTTATGCTCATGAGGATGATGCTTCCGCATCACTTCCAGAACTACCTGCGTCCTGGAGGACTTCCACGTGGCAGGCGGTAGGACATGCTACTGCCCGACCACTCCTGTGCACAGATGCCTGGCCACCATCTGGACTGCACTGATTCAGAGATGCTGATTGAATCCCTACTCTATGCCAGGCAATTTTAGCTACTGGGGAGAGAACAGCAAACACAACAAACAAAAATCTCAGCCTTGTGGAGCTCGAGTTCTCATTAAGAGGGACAAATTATGGAATAACATCTAAAGTATGTCAGATGGCTATAAGTAAAATGAAAAAGTTAAATGATGAGAGAGGATAAGGAGTGCAGGAGTAGGGGCTACAGTTCTAATGAGAGTACTTACAAATGGCTGCACTGAGAAGCGTTTGAGTAAAGACTTAAAGAAGTGGATCATGTGGATAAGATGGAAGATGAATGTTCCAGACACAAGGGCCAGCACATGCCAAGATGCTGAGGTGGGAGTGTACCTGGTGTGTTTGAAGCACAGCAAAGAGGCTGGTGTGGCTGAAGAAGACTAAGTGAAGGGGGAACTGTGGGAGGTGAGGTCAGAGAGGTAAGCTGGGGAGGCAGATCGTGTGAAACCCACAAGGCTCTGACTTTTACTCTAAGTGAAATGGGAGCCAAGGGAGGCATGTGATCAGAGAAGGGATGTGCACTGACAAGGTTTTTTTTTTGAGATTTTATTTATTTATTGAGAGAGAGAGTGAGAGAGAGCGAGTGAGCATGAGCAGGGGGAGGGGCAGAGGGAGAGGAGGAAGCAGACTCCCTGCTGAGCAGGGAGCCCGATGCGGGGCTCGATCCCAGGACACTGAGATCATGACCTGAGCTGAAGTCAGATGCTTAACCGACTGAGCCACCCAGGCGCCCCACTGACTAGGGTTTAAGCAGATCCATCTGGCTGCGGTGTGGAGGACTGGGGATAAGGAGAGCTAGTGTGGAAGCAGGAAGTCCAGTGAGAAGGCTACTGTAATAGCCCAGGTGAGAGACAGAGACTCAGACCAGTGTCACCAGCTGAGGTGATGATTAGTGACTGGATTTGGAATATATTTTGAAGGCAGAATCAACAGGATTTACCAAACGGTTGGATGTCAGGTATGAGAGAGAGGACTCAAGGAAGATGCCAAGGCCTAAGCAACTGGGAAGCTGGAGTTGCCTGAAACCACTCTGGCCCTTGACTGTTGAGTTACATAAACCAGTCAGTTCCTTATATCTTCTGGGCCGATTGGGATCAGTCTCACCCAAAAGAATCCTAATTGATACAAAGGACCGAAGAAGGCCCTTCTGAAGAATAAAGAATGAGTAAGAGTTAAATAGTAAGAGAAGGTCTTTTCCCCAAAAAGGCCAAGAGGCGGGAAAGAGCTTTGAAAGAGCAGTCAGGAAGTCAGAGGGTTAGGAATTAAGTGAATGGTGGAAGGAAAGTGGTACAAGAGAAGGTCCGAGATGTAGGAAGGGGCTGGATCACGCAGGGTCTTGATACTATGATAAGAAAGGTGGATTTTATTGTGCTGAACTTCTATCAAAGTAGAAATCAATTTTAGGCAAACTAGATACGGTAAGGAAAGTAGAAGGTAACAATACAGAATGTTAAATTGGAAAAAAAAATACAGACTGTAAACCCGTTTATATATCAGCATCTCCCAGATTTATATTTTCAGTCCAGACCCCTCTCCTGAACTCCAGCCTTGGGAGGTTTTTTTTTTTTTTTTAAAGATTTTATTTTATTTATTTGACACACAGAGAGAGAGAGACAGCTAGAGAGGGAACACAAGCAGGGGGAGTGGGAGAGGGAGAAGCAGGCTCCCGGCCGAGCAGGGAGCCCGATGTGGGGCTCGATCCCAGGACCCCGGGACCATGACCCGAGCCGAAGGCAGACGCTTAACGACTGAGCCACCCAGGCGCCCCTGGCCTTGGGAGTTTTAACTACACCTTCCAAAACTCCACTTCAGTGTTTAATAAGCACCTTATACTGAACAGGTCCTAGGCTGAACTCCTGCATCTTCCTCTCCAAATCTGCTCCTTCTCCATCTTATCCCTCTCAGATAATGGCAGCTCCATCCTTCTAGTGGTTCAGCCCAAAACTCTCACACCCCACATCCAATCAAGCATTCTATTTAAAATTGCAACTGCTCCATCCTAGGCAATGTTTCATTTCTTTTTTTTAATTTTTTTTAAGATTTATTTATTTGAGAGAGAGAGTAGAGGAGGGGCAAAGGGAGAGGGAGAAAGAGAAACCTCAAGCAGACTCCCCACTGAGCACAAACCCTCACACAGGGCTCAGTCTCGGGACCCTGAGATCATGACCTGAGCCAAAATCAAGAGTCTGGTGGCTGAACTGACTGAGCGACCCAGGCACCCATCCTTTTTTTAATTATTAAAGTATAATTGACATGTAACATTAGTTTCAGGGGTACAACATAATGATTCGATATTTGTATACATTGTGAAATGATCATCACAGTAAGACTAATTAGCATTTGTCATCATACAAAGTTACAAAAAAATTTTTCCCAAGCAATGTTTTTTCTCTCCGTCCCCTGCTGTTCTCTGTAGCATTGCCAACCTGGGACACACTACATCACTTACTTATTTTTTATTGTCTGGCTTCCCTGACTAGAATGTAAGCGATGTAAGGGCAGAGGACAGAGACCAGTCTGCTTTGTTCCCTGCTGTATCCCCAGGATGCAAACTGTGTGTGGCACATAGTAGGCGCCAATGTATGTTGAATGAATGACTGAATGACCACTCCATTCAAAGGTACCTGAAGTCCTCAGGAGACGGTTGAGTGTATGTTTAAAGACAAGAAATCAATGAAACATGGTATTGTTGCCGAGAGCAAGAATGCTTTCAAGAATATCTGGGGTAGTAGTCAAAGAACAGAGTAATGAACCTGATCAGCTTCTAAGGGCAATCTGAACATCAATAAAGAGAACAAAATTAGTTAATGGTACGAGCGTGGTCTAGGAAAGGCTATGAGTTGCAACACTTTTAAAAAAAGGAGAAAAATACAAAGTCTACCAAATGCTAGTTGTAACACAAATGAGAGATGTTTAATTTTTTGCTACTGTTGCAATATATAAGGCAGTGTTAATAGTCAAATGGTTACTCTGTCTCTTCTCTCTTTTTTTAAAAAGATTTTATTTTGAAGCAGTCTCCACACCCAGGGTGGGGCTTGAACCCACAACCCTGAGATCAAGAGTCACGCGCTCCACATACTGAGTCAGCCAGGTGCCCCTATTCTGTCTCTTCTATAGTTACATGTCTCTGGACGTGTATTCCTTTCTGTGTAA